AAAAAAAAAAAAAAAAAAATCCACCCAAAATTCCTGAAAAAAAATCTGCTAAACACACTCTCATTAAAAATATACACCTGTGAGCTTTATTTGTAAATGTGGAACTAAATCCGCAAGTGTAGAGGGGGAGGGGAAGGAGAAGAGTGACAGTGGTGGGTGGTTTGTTTTCTTTTAAGGATGGAAGTTTTTCTCTACCGAACACTGGTACTGCCTCAGCAGCTTTCTATATTAGCCTCTAGTGATAGATGTCGACTGCTGAGAATACAGTTCATTTACTGTTGTAAATAGCCCAGATCCACTTGTTTTAGCTTGTGGAAGGTACACATCCTAACAGAGGAGTTTCTTCTCCAGAGTGAAATGTTGTGCTCTGAAACTTAACTGCGGTAGTTTGAAAAGCAAAGCTCTTACCAGTGCTTTATGAAATAAAATGGGAGTAAGGAACTTAGGAAGATGTCCTTTAAGTGCAGGAATTTTCCAGATCCCATTAGACATAACATAAACAGGTTGTGCGTGGGGGGGGTTCAAACTAACTTTTAAATCAAGGTAAAACTTACTCCCAAGTGCTTTGTAAACATCACTTCAGCTCCTAAAATATTAGTGTATGATACATATTTATTCTCTACTTCCACAAATAGTGAAGTGACAGTGGGAAGGTTTTATGAATTCCAGACTAATTCTGTGCTAGACTCAGTCTTCCTCTCATTCCTTTACTTAATGAATACTGTTCAGCCTACTCTTATTTTCAAAATGCGGGAAAGGATGTTAGGTACATCCATAGGTGTGGGGTTTTTTTCTGTGTGGCTTTGGGGTTTGGTTTGGGGGGGGGGCGGGCGGTGTGGTGGGGGTTTGTTTTGGTTTTTGGGTTTTTTTAAAGTCTGAACAGTAGTGTATCTTGCAACTGTGTTCCAGTTGCTTTTCTAGGAACAGACTTAGGTGTATTATAGGTCAGGATTTGGTGACCAAAAAGTTGACATTAATTCTCACTTTTTTTTGAGCAGCTATTTTCTGGTCATTTCTAACTCCTGTAAAGAAGTTGTTACATAGGAGTTTAGGTATGGGAGTAAGCTGGTAGGACAGCACTCCTCCCTGTATGCGCACTTCTAGCCACTTGTGCCTTCTCCAGCAGTTACTCATCTTGGCTAAACTGGGGCAGGGCTGGGGGGGGTGGGGAGGCAATGGACTTAAATACGTTTTTGTGTATTTTAAAGTGTCTTCAGGTCCAAATTACTTTTTACTTCCGTGTTCTAAGGTGTTTAATCCTTCTTGCCTCACTTCCTCTTAATTTTTGCTAACAGCCAAGATGTGATGTTATGGGGATCTCCAACACTTGCTGAGGACACCAGATCAGATACGCTGTTCTGTGTAGTCTGACAGCTTACTGTATTACGTAAGTCATGTTTAAGTGATCAGTGTTAAGTCCGGACGGGAGGAAAGGATTTATACTGTGCCTGTTAACTGTACCTTCAGCCTTAGCTTTTTCTTGTGCAGCTTCTTATACGTGGAATACTAGTCAAGAGCCAGTCCACCAGTTAATTAAAACTATTAATGAAGTTGTGTTGCCTAAGCTAAAATGTATGTCGGGTAGGGGAAAGATTGTGATTAAAAATAGTATGCAGCATACGTCAAATAATTCTGGGAAATAACCATAACTATAGGGATGTTTGTCTTCCCTTGCACTTCCTGCAGATAGATGTGTGCTTGTGAAATGTGTGTCCATGGAAGAGAGGGGAGAGCAGGAAGTCAGGTTATCAATCAGCCTCGGTCAGTCACTAACACAAGTTTACAATCCAGAGAGACTTCTGTCTGGTTTTACTGTTATGTGCTTTCTACAGTTATGAGCCAAGGGAGACTTTGAAAGAGAATTACCCAAATTACAATAGCAAGGAGTCTCTAATTTTGATTTTAATACTTAAGTTGCATTACTGAAAGCTAGACAGGCAGCTTTCACTCATGAGGTGCTTACACCTATTCAAATCTGCTATTTCTATCCTACGAGAAAAAGCAATTTATCACTTTGACACAGTCTTAGGCTGAAAAATGCAACTGTGGCTGTATGAAAAGGATCAAGCAAGTCTGAATTTAATAATATCCTAAAAAGAAAAGCCAGAAGGTACCACTATCAATGAAATGATTTTGACCTGCATAGTGCAGGCCAAGTACTTTATTGATGATCTTCCTATTTAAACGTATTCTTTGATGGTACATGAATAACTCTTGTGTAGTTGACTATAGTGCTTGTTTTGTGCATGAAAAGTTTGTGTTCAGACAATACTAACTGTGGCAGTCGTGTTTTATACACTCATGTTTTTTGAAGCTTTTCTCTACTGAAAATTAAAGCTGTGTGCGGTTCTGAGTTCTAAACATTGTTTAACTTGCCCTTAAAACCTTTTTTGGAAGGTGAGGAAGAGGAAATTAAGAAGTAGCTTGCCCAGATAGAAGTAATTGAGGGTTTTCACATGCTGCATTCTTCTTTGTGACTTTCCAGCTGTACTTCCTAACCATGTGTCAGTGGCAGCTGCACTGCACTATCAGACCCTGTGACAGATGGAGCTGTGTTTTTCCTCTGAAATGGTGGCATGAGTCCTGTATTGTCCACAACGCATCGCAATGTGAATTTTTCTTGGTAGCCTGGAATGTTTCTTCTGAGTAGCTGCACACTCTGACCAGGCCTGTTTGTTTGGTATTCTGTGTGGATTTGCCAACTGGGGACATGCCTCTTCCCTCCAAGTTTTTTCAAACCCTGGTACGGTGTAGGATTACAGTGCATGGATGCTTCTTCCCATCTTAGCAGGGAGGAGTTTCTATGAAATGTCCTCCATGGAACTGGAAGGAACTGAGGAACATGCTGTCAGGGGCAGAATTTCTACATACAGACTCGTTTGTAGTTCAGTGATACGGATGGAGAGTTTGGCACTCTTAAGCATTGAGTTCACTTTGCTTCCTTTTCTCTATATCTGCAAAATAATTTTAATTAAAAAAGCATTCTGCCATAAATGGCCTGTGGCTCAGTTTGCATTACTATAATGAGAGAAGATGAGAAAATGCCAGAAAAAAGTTATTGAGATGTGGTGTTCCTCACTGTTCTTTTTTCATGACAAAAGATTCTAAAATAGAGCATCTGAACTCAAAAAAAATTGGTTGTTGAACTTTTTCTTAAAAGTTCAAGAGAAGGGTAACTTACAGCTTGCTTCCTTTATTATTGAACAGCTATGTATAGACCTCACATTTGAAGTTGGCATAAACTTTAATTTTTGTTCAGTTTATTTACTTACAAATTACAGAATTATCAGATTGGCATGTTCCAAAATCCTGTTACTTGATCCAATTTTTTGAGACCTGAGTAGGTTCCTGGAATTAGGCTGGAGCAAGGAGAGTGCAGTTTCTAGGCACTCTTTGTGTTTTAGTATGCCCAACTTGTGCTTCTTTGAACTGGCTGTGCCGTTCTGTCAGCTGATTGAAAGGACTGACAACTGTGCAGCAGTCATGCGGTAATACAGGATTGTCTGGGCATAGTAGCGTGGATTTTTGTGTGGACTTCTGTTTGTTTTCCTTAGTACCAAAAATTGAAGTGGACAGAGCACTGCATAATGAAATAATGTGATCAACATCTTACATTGCAAAGTAATGCTGTCAAAAGAGAGCATTTGACTGGTGTGCGAGTTTTGGGTCTGGGATGTGTGTGTTAATATGCAATGCTACAAAAGAACAAGTTACTTAGAAAATATGGAGTAGTTTGTTAAGGATATAACCCTGTCAGAAATTCTTGTGCTAGAAAGTAAAGCAAAAGGCCTGATAAAATGTAGATTAGCTGGTAACAAAGGGGCTTTGTATCTTTTGTAGGTCAGCAGCTGAGTGTGTTTGACAAGAACTGAAATTTAATGTCTCCTGTAGCAACCATGACACTAGTCATTTTTAAATGCACTGTACCATTGGTACTCTGGCTTTCATTAGCCTTTTCCAAATTTTTATGTAACCTCTGAAGTCATCTGGCTCCTGGAGGGAGACTTAAGGATCCTTCAATTAGGCAAAAAGCATACGAAACAGGCAAAATTTCTAAAACATAAGATAGGGCAATGTTTGTGTATTTTTTAAAAAAAAAAAAAAGTCTTTGCCATCTACAGTGGGGAGTCTGTTAAGTAGAAACATTTGAAGTTGGAGCAAATAATGTTTCTTGCACTTCATTTTTATAGTTCAGAGTGCTGTCATGCTCACATTACGTATTTCCTCATATTACATTTCTAGAATGCTCTGGGACAAATTTTATGAAGGAAATTTGAGGAATGAAAAGGAGGGTGTCTGCGTATATGAGCATGAAATATTTAGTCTAATTAGACTACTGTATGAATTTAGAAGTTAAACGTTTAATTTTAAGTCGCTTTTGTGAAATTATATATCCTCGCATATGATAGTTTGCTTGCTGTTTAGGCTTGCTTATGGAATTTAAATACTAGCACATTTTTAAGATGTTAGAAATTAACATTATTTATATAATTCAAATAGATAAGTCTGGTATTTCCTGTGTGTCTAACGAAGTGTAAATGTATATTTTAAAATATATTAAAAGCAGTAAATTGTAAAAACCAAGCATTCTGAATGTATAAAATGTCAGAATTACTGTTCCCTGTATGGTCTTAATTTCACTCCCTTGTGAGTGTGAATTTTGGTCTGCTTTGATTAGTCAGTGGGGGGGGGGGTGGGGGGGGGGAAACCACTAGTGTGCAGTGTATGGGAAGGATGGTGCTTAGTGAAAAAATAGCCATTTTGATGTATACTTTTATTCTTCATAGTAATGGTATGGGGTAATGCCTTAGGTATTAAGCAACATTTCAATGCTACTTAAAATTGAGAGTTATCAATTGTGAGTTTTCTATGATTTGTAGACACTAATTGTCTTCATGATACGTTATGAGTTGGTATATTTAGCAACAGTTTTACTGTAAAGTCCTGCATAATCGTGATTTTTCCATAGATTGTGTCTAAAATTACCAGTTGCTGACAGTGTTGCCGATAGTTTGACTGAGGATGCCTGACACACACGGACACTCTGCCCCCCCCCGCCCCCCCCTTTTATTATTATTGGTGCCTGAACTTTGTATCCAGATTTCTGCTGATTGTGTTTGTAATTGAGTGCTCAGTACTGTCTGGTTCTGTTAGCTCTAAGTGGGGTGCTGGGATGGGGGAGCGATATGTGATAGGTGTGGGAAGATCACCTAGGTGAATAGGCACACCACATCCAGACACCTTAGGTTTTTTAAAGAGATTCGGCTGGTGCTGAGGCAGTTTAGCAGAAAACTTTGGAGTAAAACAGACTTCCAAAGTTAAAAAATTACAGCACTGGTAAATTACGAGTAATCAAAGTTTTTCATTGTTGTTTTAACAGTGAACGTGTTAGTAAACTGAAGTATAGGCCATGCTACTACCTGTTACATAAAAATGCATTCTTATGACAAATTTGATTTCATCCAGCTATGTCCCTAAAAGAAAAAGTGGGTATGATTGAGAAGTCTTAAACTCCTTTACGAACTGTCTGGTTTTTCCTGTGTGTCTTGCTGAGAAGTACGCACTGCTTGCTTGCTTTCTGTTCCTCCAGAGGAGCTGAGTTCTCCCAACAGTCTTGTCTAGGCAGATGGATGTAGCCATGGAGCCCTGCAGTGCTTCCTGCAAATCTGGAGAAATCCCAAAAGTAAAAGAGGCTTTATCCTGCCGCCTTCTCCTTGTCCCCAAAAGTCTAGCAACAGGCTAGCAGCTGGCAGCTGCGGCAATCAGCTGAGCTATTGCTGGCAGTATCCAGTGCTCACATGAAAAGGAAGTTGGGAGGCCCTCTGCAGCATGCAGAGTCTGGATCATTGTGTATGAAGGATCTGCCCTTAATCTGCCACAGGGTGTCTAATTTATGATTGCTTAATTTTGTTTAATTGTTTGGGAGTGAGGTGTCTGTATTCCATGGACACATCAAGATGTGTGTAATCAAGATTCTACCAGTGTTTCCTGTGCACGGTATACTCCTTTTCTATGTTTATACAAGTGATTGGATAGTGCTTGTTGTCCCTAATAAAACGCTTCATATTTTTGAATAGTAATTGTAAAGTATCCAAGCATGTATTTGTTTGGATCACGTGTATTTTAGGTGTGTGTGCATGCAGTTTTTTGTACCACAATGTTCTAGACCTACCATATTTCAATGCAAAAGCACACAAAGCAGACTGAAAGCAACTAAATTCTATTTCTTTTCTTTTAGCTATTTACTAAAATTGGTCATTTTTAAAATGCCATTTGATAGCCTCCTGCTGGATGTCCTTAGTGTTAAGTCAGTAGTAGGTTGTGAACCAGCAGCCATGAGCACCGATCATCATTCTGTGAGCTCTGTGGCCCAGCCAAATTTCCTCCCACTGTTTAGCTAAACTACTAAGGTGTGGAATGGATATAAGGATCCCATAGGAGGGCCTGTTGTTGGTCTTGCTGGGTGGTTCGACTGTAGTAAAACAACTTTAAGTCACCAAAGAGGAGGGAGGTAAATGAGTTCTATAGAGAGTTCTCAGAGACACTGAGCGAGACATTAAGAATACCTTAATGTGATAAAAATGGGTGTTGAAACTAGCTTTAAAATCCTACCTACTGTACCTAGGAACAAATGTTAAAATGAAAACGTTGAAATATTCTGTATAGTTATTATAATCCTTAGTATAAGCATCTATTTTATTTCACGTGGACATTCAGATATTTCTCATTAATGAATTTTTGTATGCTATATAATCTAAATGGATAAGAGGCTAAAAAGCTCATCTATTAAAGATTTTAAATAATTAAATTTATATTCTCATAGTAGAGTTAAAAGTAAACCTTAAAACCAAACTTAGATGTATATAGCTTTTTTTAAAAAACACTATATTTCTTTCATGTTTTCTGTTTAAAAAAAAAAATTGTTGTGAAACAATAGAACTGGAAAGTGCATCTTCTCAATGAAAGTAGTATCTTGTGTAGGATTTTATTCTGTCTTTCAGTGTTCTATGGCATTAGAGTCTAAGTTAACCAATACATTGTATGCTACAGACTTTTCAAAAGTGTCTGTTGCGATCTTGCAGAAGAAGCGATAGTCTTGCCCAAGGTTAATTCATAATTTCTCTCTTTCAGGTTCATGTTGGGGAGAGGTCTAAAACGCAAGCTGAGTGACTATGAGGAGAACATGGCTGGTCTCTCGAGTGCCTTTGATTCCAGTCGAAATCTGCCATATCCGCTTAAGAGGCAGTTGGTGCTTAATATGTGCCTCACCAAGTTACAGACGTACAAAATGCTGGTGGAACCGAACTTGCACCGCTCTGTCCTCATAGCCAACACAGTACGGCAAATCCAAGAGGAAATGAGGCAGGAGAGTAATCAGCAGCCAATTAATGTCTGCCCTGGCATTACTCCTAGTTCTCACAGCTACACAGGGATGGAATCATCTGGGATTTCTCTTCAGTTGCCTTCAGGTATTAGTCAGCAAGAGTCTAACTGTTGCGACTTGCGGTCTGTAGAAGACCCAATTGAAAATAGCCTGCTGATAGTTTCAGATGATGATATGTCATCTGCTATTTCATCTATTCTGAAGGATTTAGACTTTGTAGAAGATATAAGCCCGCCTACTTGTCTGGTTCCTACTGGAGATGACCAGCCAAAGTTCCCAGAAAATACTGGTCTAAAACTAGAAGATGATAGACAGGATTTGAAGGGAGCTGAATGCGTGTTTGGATCCTTTGAGCTTTCAAATTCAACTAGTTACTTGAAGGATTTGGCAATAGATGACATTTTTGAAGATATTGACACTTCAATGTATGATTCAGACTTTTGTTGCCCTCCACTAATGCCGCCCAGACCACCATCTCTCGCTACAGAAGAACCATTGAAAACCTTTCCATCTTGTAATTCTTCTTCAGCAAGCAACATTCAGATATGTAGAACAGATCTGAGTGAGTTGGACCACATCATGGAAATTCTCGTTGGATCCTGATACTTGTTTTACCCAAAGATACTTTTTAACTGCCACTTTCATTTGGTTTCAGGATAAAAGCCACTGGAAAAGTTGTAAAAAATTCTTTAAAACACAAACTAAAAATAATTTGTCCATAGTGGGATTTTCTAAATAATTCCAAAACTTATAAACCAAAAAAAGTGGCAGATTTTTATTAAAAAAAAAAAAAAAGAAATATTTATTTATCAGAACTGTGCAATCATCTTTTTCCTTCCAGGGTGTATGTGGAACAATAGGCACATACCCTTATCACCCTTCATGCCTCTTTCAATAAACTTTTTTATTTGCAATTTTCAATTTGTCAGAAGAATTTACATGCAAAACAAATTTCATATGAGATGATCTTTTACAAAGCCTCCACTTTATTTTTAATATCAGAGTCTATGCCAGGCTGGCATATGTCAAGTTGCATAGTTGGATTGCGTGGATTGCAGACGCATTACTAGAGATGGGTATATTTTAAAAATGAGACACACTTTGCTTTCTTTTGGCCAGAAAAGCAAATCAAGACACTTATCAACGAAGTCTCTTGCATTTTCTAAAGCATTCAGAACTATTTATTTTTGTAAATTTTATAGTCTTTCTACATTTTACTACGTTATTTCATCATAGTTCAAATATAATGGACTTCTAGTTGGATGTGTTTAGCACTACCTCTGAGCTGAAATGCTTTAACTCTTTCCAGTGCTTCGTCTAAGACTGCAGATCTTTTTGTTTCTATTTTTTTCTGGGGGAAAGTACTTCTAACTCATTAAGCTGATCCTTTGACGGTGACCTAGCTGATTTGTGAAATCAAGGGTATTCAATGTTTAAAAACTTTTAAGTATTTACAAATGTAATTTATATGTAGATTGTGCAATTTAACATTTTTCTGTCAGTATTACGTGCTTAGATTTTGAATAATCTCGGCGTTCTTTAAATTAAAACTTACTATGTACAGGTAGCTTTTTAAGCTGTTTTGGAAAACACTGTCCTTCAACCCTGCTTTCACTACAAAGTTTAAGATGATTTTTATGTGCAATATTATTTAAAAAGATACACATTTGTATACCTGGCATTGTGGAAAGAAATGCTTCAAACTTAAAACTTCTAGCACCTTTGGAGGATACTCGAGAGAGTCAGCATTTCTGTATCCTTTAAGAAACAAAGTTGAGAACACTTCTTACTACACCAGTGCTTACTGCTTTGAATACTCCCGAAATGCTCATTGATACGTGGTGAGTCAGTGCTGATGACTAAGAACCATCCTGCAGCGGTGTCCGTGAGAGCTCAGGGGTCTGACCGCTCGGATGCAGCGCCAGGGCTGGGGCCTGCGTGGGCTTTGGAAGCATCGTGATGGTTGCTGCTGATGGTGCTGCAGATTGTACTGGGGAAGGAGGGGTGCGTGTGTGTGGCAGGTGTGTGTATAGGTATATATAAGCGCGCTCATTAACTGAAGGTGAGATTTGCAGTGAGAACTATTTTTCCATAAGACAGTTTGGATACTGTGTTTCAGCTTGAACTGAGGTCTATATTGATCCTTGCTATCGTCTTCTGAACTACACACTTGCACGTTAGTTTTGGGGGGTATTTTATTTTATTTCTTAATTATAAAACTTTTACTTTGTTCTTGAAAGCTGCAGCACCTGTCTTGTAAGAAGATTTGCAGTTGTAAAAGCTTTGCTTTGGTTTGTTGTTTTTTGGAGGTTTTTTTGTTGTTCTGCTGAGACTTTTCATGAACGGGGCATCGGCAGAGGAAAAAAAAAATGTTGCCTGTGTGTTGCATCTCACAGAAGCTGAAATCCTGGCCCTATTGAAGGGGACAGGGTGTCACTTAGTATTTCTAGTCTTAACTGATGCTGTGGCACACCTACCTTGTGCAAAGATCTCCATTTTTTTACTGTGACTATTTCGGTTAACAGTTAGCTGCCGATACAATTTGGTATCCCAAACCAATGGAGAACCAGTTCAGGTCGCGTCCTCGCAGCCATCTGGGTTGTTTGGCAACCGAAGGGTATAAGTGTATTTATATGCATATAATGTATTGATTCTAATATAAAACTTCTGATCTAAAATATTTTGAATTGCTGGATAAAGGGATTTTTTTGAAGAGTGTATAAATAGTTCTTGAAGAGGTACAGGTTCAGAATGTACACAGATTGTGCATTGTGTATAGACTACTCTGGCTTTTCCTCAGCCTCTACTTTTGTATTGAAGATATGACTGAATAAATCCTTGAACTATTAAGGGCCTTCTGCACTGTGATGAAGCAGAGTTGTGGTTAAAAATGTCTTTAAATTCAGTGATGAGGAATAAAATAAAAAGACTGCATCTAATTTCTTTTTGCATTTGAAAATATGGAATGTTACTATGCAGTAAAGATATTTTGGTATGAAAATTGTATCACATAGCAAATAGTGAACACTTAATAAATCCACTTACTCACCTTGCAGCCCCTACAGAAACATAAGACGACTTGCTTTTCAGCATTTACATGCTGAATTTTTTTGTATACTTCAGAAACAGATTAAATTGTTGGTAGATGTTTTATCAACAATTCAAAATGCAATTTTTGTTCAGGTGCTTGCTACAAAGCTCTGTTTCTAATTGGTTGCTTGCATCACAGTCCCAAGACCGTAAGCTGGTATGTAATGCAGTTCGGTTATGTATGGAGTTATGTGCAAAGGGAAGTTTAATTTTTAAATATGCACAAACTAATTTTAAAATCCTTCCATGTAAAATGAAGTTAGAGGCTAGTTGTGGTGGACCTATTTATTGTATGTTTGGAAATAAAAGCCACAGTTTTGCAGTTTAACCATTTATATTTTGAAGCCTTCAGTATTTGACTGGTTTAAAAACAAAACAAAAAAAACGCGGTACCTTGCCACCCTTCATCTGGTCTTTCGCTCATGAAGATGTAGCATTCTCCCTAGGTGATTGCTTTTACACCTTTTTTTTGTTTTTGTTTTTCCCTCCCCCTTTCCTTCCTTCCTCCCCAGAAATACTAAATACCGTACACGGCTTCACGTCCCCTTTGTGCGTCCTGTCCCCACAGAATGAGGGATGGCCCACAGAGCATTTTTTTTTCTGGCCGGTGGGGTGGGGGATTCCTGTTGTGAACAGGTGCTGTATGTTCGTTAGCACTTAGCGGTCCTCTGGTTTTTGTCCCGACTGCCCTGTGTAGTCCTCCCGGCCCATGCAGTTCTTAGTATTGCTTCAGGGGTTGCCATGCTTGAAAGCAAGTGTCAGATACAAGTGTCCTTGACGCATGTACTGTTGACACCTCAGACTTGTATACAAAAATACTGCCACTCGGTGCTAGTGGAAGGTTGGTTGCTGGTCTGTGCTAATACAAATTACACCAGCGACTTCAGGTTTAAAGGTGTCCATCCTCTTCCTGTTGTGGACCTCTAAAATGAGATCCTGACTCTTCGCAATGAACTTTGTTTTATGGATGAGACCGTGCTGGCTGCTACTTACAGACCAGGAATTCTTCCTGCCTTTTGTCCTGGAGCCTGCTGACTACAGCGTGAAAAGCACAGGTCTAGAAGTAACAACTTCACAGCAGTCTGGTTTTGGCTGTGGGGTGGTTGCCATCATGTTAGCCCTGTGAGTGTCTGCGTTACTGAGCGGGACGCTGCTGATACTGCAGTACAGACCTGCTCTTGTACTGATGGGTCTTGAAGTTCGTCAACAGAAAATGTTGCCTTATGAAGGTATGCTGCAATTTAGTCTTTTAAGAAAATATTTTTGAAGTATTGCTTTCAGGTCATGTTGACTCATTAAAGGTGGTGTAAGGTTTCATATACCTTCATCAATTTTAGCCACACCAAAAGATCTCAACTTAAAAGTAAGGTGAGCAGCACCACTCAGTGCAATGCTGGTTTAAAACGGGGCTAGGTGCGGAGGTGCAGGTACTGCCCGGAGTGCTCTGTCGAGCTCAGTATCCTGTATACGGGAAGTGAGACTTCAAAAGACTTAACTTTCCTGCTCAAGCAAGAGTGAAATACGTGAAAGAAAATAACCTATGCGTTAGTTCTGTGAGGAAGATGAGTTACAATTAGTTGTGGAACTAATTTTGAGCTATTAAAAACCAGTATTAGAAGTGAAGAGTTAAGCTATTGAGGAGCAGAAGTGTATCTATAAAAGTCTGTATTATTAAAGCAGATGTTCAGGGAAGCTGGAAGATTTTTGGCATTTAAGTATTTGCCCAGCATTCACAGGCATCTTGCCTTGATTGAAAACGAAAAAAGCGTTGCAACTTCATTCCATACATTTTTCCCTCATTAGGACCCATTTATCCCGGCCGAGCGCTAAGCACGGCCGGCTGAGCCGTGGGATGACAATTCCTGAGGTTCTCATCCGTGTTTCAGTAGAAGGAACGGAGAACTTCTGCTGGACGTGACTGAAGCGAGCCTGTTGCATCTGCTGGCTGGATGCGTTTGTTTCTTTTCTTTGAATCCTCCAGAGTGGATCTGGCAGGTTAACCTCAGATCCACAGGGAAGTTTGGGGTTTAACAATTAGTTTCAATGCAGCTCATTTTTAGCCAAATTCCCTCTGCCATCTTAACTGGAGTAGGAGTACTCCAGGAAGTCCTCCCATTAAAAAATGGCAGGACTATTAAAACTGATCTTCACTGCTAAAAAGATCAGAGTGCTTTTAAATCCTGTAATGACCCTGCACTCTGAAAAGAACTTCTAAGCTTTTACAAGATTTTGTTTGTTTGTTTTTTACTCCAAGTCTTCTGCATATATCCAACCAATGGTGGGCTTATGGTATACTTAGGAATCATCCCAGGGTCTGGAATGCCCCCCTGCCTTTTTTTTTTTTTTTTTTTTTTAAAATTTTTACACAATTTTTGGTTTTTTAAAAAAAAA